TTGATTCGTTCGGAATGCATGTTTTAGAGTTACCTTAATCAGAGTGGCAAAAGTGCTTCGAAAATTGGTTCGAGCCCCTGCAAAAGTGTATAGATCTTAATGTGGAGAATGTTGAAAGGCAGTTAAGCGATTTTCAATAAATAGTATTTGTACCTGTTCTTAAATCCCGAAATATAAAAGGCAACCTACGTATTTACTAATAAAGGTACAGGTCCCGACGACCGTTCATATCGAGAAGTTTTAAATGATTGCTGCCCGGGGATCTATTTCCGCATTTTCCAGGCTTCCAATCATGAGTGGAGTTTAGATATACGATCTGAACCGCTTTAAAGTTTCACATAAGTTGATAACCCAAACAGGCGATTTACCCATCTTTCGTGCAGAAGAGAGGGGCAGGAAATAAGTTGTACGTGGTATTGGGAACTATCAATTTTCTAACCGAATCTGCTTATTTCTACTTTGGACCTACAATCTGCCATTGCCGGTTCGTCTACTTCCCCTCCATTACTCTTTGCACACTTCGGCAATCAAAAGAAATTTACGTCTGAATACTAGCCTCATATGACAGAGCAGCGGACCAGTTCCAAATTAAGTGCTCGAAACCTGCACATAACGAGAAACAAACAAGCAATAAGAAATCTCTGAATCCTATCAAACATGTTCATGTAAAATTACAAAAAGAAGAGGTTCGGCTAGAGATCAACTTCGCAATCTTGAAGTAGACTGTTGAATCATCCACTAGCAGGATGGTGAAACAAGCGATACTTCGTTAAGCTATAAAATAATGGTAACGTGCAGGATAATGCGTGCAAATGCCTTCACAATTCTGTTTAGAGAATAATAGTGGATTAGGAAAATGGATAGAACCATGGTCCAGGTACGGCTTTCGCAATAAGCAGTGCATATAGGATCTTAACGCCACAACAACCTGGTATCCCTCGTTTGCCGTAAGTCTTTTATAGTTTTTAAGCGAGCCTCCACGGAAAATGAAGAAATTCGCGAGGNTTGGAAAAAAATCATGAGCAGACAATAAAAAGTATTCGAAAATGATTGTGAATGGCGCACGTATAGTGAGAAAAGATTCTGATTAAGCACAAACATTGAAGAACGAAAAAAATTGAATTTTGACAAAAAGACTTTAAAAATAGATTATGCACGGAAATCAGGATAGAAAAAGAAGGAAAACAAAAAATAGACGTACCTTCATGATGAATGATGTTCAGGTGTTCTACAGCACTTTCTGCACGTCTACTCGCGACCATCATCGACTCCGTTCGATTAATTGGCACTATTGGCTGATTGATTGGCTGATTCAGTGGTTGGGCAAGACCAGGATGCTCTACTTGAGACCTTCCATCCATTTCACTGGAATATTTTAATTCATGGTGAACGCAATCGAGTACATTTCCAATAAATCTTACTTGTAATAAATAACACCAGTGTTGGGTTGGAAAATTTTGTTCCACCCTGGTGGTAAATTTTCTCTAGCTAAGGGATGAATCCAGTGCGTTCTACAGGTGTTGTGATCAACATAATATCTGGAAAACTGGCGATATTAGACGATATAACGGCTAATAATAAAAGGATAATCATTATGTAGTGCTTTCCGCACCTGTAGCCGTCTGGGGTTACCTCTACCGCCCAGTTTGGTGGCAACGGTAATTCGTCCTCTTGTGGAGTACCAGACACTAAGCAGTTGTCTCCTAGAATTGACAGTGTTTGAAAACCTATATCCAATTATCGAAGAAAGCGATACTCACCAATAATTGAAGATCCGAACTGACGGCCTTGTTGCCCGGGAAGACTTTGTAAAGAGACAAACCGTTGTTGCACCGAGGTAGATTGCCTGAATATTTTCCTAGTTCAATCTAGAAAGGCCTATACATATAAGATACAATGGCAACTTGAATAGAAACCTACTCTGGGTTCATCTGATCCATAAATGATTCAACGTTTCCAATGCTATGTGAAGACGCTAATGGTTTTCTAACAGGTTCTCGTTTACTTTGATCACTGAAAGGAACTCATAAAATTTGCTTAGTTCATCTACGGATCATAAATATGTTATCTTGGGCAATGCCCGTGATTGGGAGATGAAATAGCAACTTTTCACAGATGCTTTTCCACTCGAAAACGGAATAACCTGTCTATAGAATTTCTACTCAGATTCTTTTCGTATACGTATAGCCTTCACAATATTTTGCAGCGAAAACGAGAGGAAGCTTGATCGAAATTTTACCTAAAACTTTGCGAGGACAACTGCACTCCCATCGGACTCTTTCGACCGTCTCCAGCATTCACATGATGATTTACCGTTAGATAACTATTATTTGCCGGTGGAAGCGAATATGTTGAAGTAACACTTATCGCTGAATCTGAATGGGGCCTCGCTGAAGAGTTCTCTGTGTACATCACCGCTGAATCCTGAAACAGCACTGTTATAAGTACCAGGTTGTCTATCTGAGACCGTTTTTGCTTGCCCTTTCAAAGAAACTAAAAGAGACCGGTGACATAGTGCAAATCATCGGAAGTTTCGCTGACCTTGTGAGGGCGTTGCTCAGTGTGAACAGGTTGAGAAGTCACTGACGTTTTGGGAGGGCATGTCGTGTTATTATTTGTCACTGACGCATCAACAGTGGTTGTAGTCTTTTTAGCAAGTGTATGGGCATGAGCTATAATAAAGCAAAATTCAAAGAGAAAATTGGTTAAAAAAGGCACACCTACAAGATCGAATAAAGCTTCCCCTAATTCTACCACATTCGTTATTATGATCAAAAGAAGATGAAAATATCATTTGAGTGTAGAAACGGAGGTAATAGCATTAGAAGATTGTTGACAAAAGAGAAATGAAAAAACCTACACGAAAGTGAGGGTACCGGCGGCGGACTGGCTCGTTTCACGTATAACCCTTGCGTTCCCTCAATATACGAGGGAAGCTGCTGCTTCTTGCTCCGAGAAAACATTCTGAAACAAGCCGTTATAGTCAACAACGCTATAGTGAACACGATGAAAACTCAGTGAGCATGACTGAAAACTTGACTATCTATTTCGATTCATTTATTTCGATCATTTGCTTCGATTTAATATAAAACATGAGAAAAACTGTAGCAAAATAGCTAAAATTTCGTGGTTTGACGAGCGTGGGTGTCCATAGACAAAACATTTGCCATTTGCTCAAACTTCCCAGCAAATCTATCTACAAACCCCGTCTTATGCAAAATTTGTAAACTCAGCCAGAGATAGGAGACTGCAAAGTTCACTGCTCGAAACATGATTTTGAAAGTGACAAATAAATTACTACTTTCTGTACTTCAATCACTTCGTTCTCCCATATCTGTCCAAAAATACACTTTCTCATGCCTTAACTGTATTGTTTGTGGGATATTACCTAGGAGTTTGAACGAGTCTATGCTGATTTTGTATACCTCAAAACACGTCAGGCTCATTTTGCTAAGAAAGAAAGAAAGTAAATAAGAAAGTTACTATGAAGTTGCTTGAAGTTGCTTGCTCCACTGGGATGCTATGGCCCAGCTCTTTTTTATAAACCACTAACCACAATCGAATAAGCATATTGCTCGCTAATAATCCTGAGAAGACTTTTATATATTTATCATACTTAGGAGAACGACTGTCCTTAGCCTTCGTTGCGTAACAAAAAGATACCCTCAATAATATGTACTACTGAACTATACCAATGTTCCCTGGACTAGCACTATGAAAGGGTGCTACCCCTTAGGATGCAGAGAAAGCAGCAGTGAAGGGGAGGTAAGATTGATCTGGAAATTAAAGTAATGGTGGAAATGGTTTACTCGTATCCAACTGCGGTACGCATGTTTATTCCTCCTGGTTCATGAATTTATTGATCGGTCATTGGATGCTTGGGTATTAGAGCCAATGAGTTAAACTAATTTCCTTCCACATCGAACTGCTTCCAACAGGTATCATAACCATCTCCCACCACTCGAGATGACAAAGGGATAAAGTCTCTGTGATAGAACCCATACCACTCGCAAGTGTTTCAATAAACTAAGCCACAAATAATGCCCCTTCTTAACAAGCTTGCTTTGAGTCTCACATATTCAAATACTGGACTACTGTCTTGTGCCAAACTAAAACTACCAATTTAGCCTGATCGAATGCAGGACATTTAAAATGACTTTGATGAAGGCGTCAAAAATGCTAGCTAGCAAGAAATCTAATTAACAAACTGATATAAGATCATCTATTCACAAATCTGTTGCTTCAAATTCACGAGAATATCGTTCTCAAGGGTAACTTTTTTTAACCAAAACCGCCTTCCTAAAAAAAAACAATTTTTGTGGGAGGCATTTGAAAAAACAACTTCATTGGGGAGAGAATATAGAAAAACAACTCAAAAACTCACAAATCAAGTAACCTTCTGCAACGGCCAGTAACAAAACCGAATCCAATAATCTAGCAGACCGGAAACTGTTCGCCGTTTGACCTCGTAAAGAATGCTTCCCGTGTTACAAAACACTTTGCCTGTGATTACACAAAGTTGTAGCACCGTACAACATAAATAGAAGTTACGTGATTTGGACGGAGCACTACATGATTCTACAGATCCAAGGTCAGTTTCATTTTGTCTTATACCTCAAGTGTTTGTAATCTTCCCATAGAGTTGTGTGGTTTGACTTGTTTGTTTGGTTTGTCCTTCTGCAACTTGAATTCCAGATGAGTTTCTCGCTGTGGTGGTGTAAATTTACTCGATTGGTCCAGGGAATTGACTTCGAAGAGTTGCATAGGCTCTTCAACCGATATTCAAAGCGGAAATTGCTAGGGATTATTTGTGCAGTGATCTTCGTTTTGTACTACCTCGGTATATCGAGTGGTGGTGAGCGACTCTCTAAAGCCGGCCAATGTGTTAAGGAACGCTTCAAAAACTGGGATCAGGGAGTCCTTGTGAGTTTTTCTCTTCTTTTTGAATGTTCTCGTGGCGCAGTGTGAGATGCTTTTTTACGGTTACGCCAATGAGTTGTTTCTCGCCCTCGGTCAGAGAAAAACATGCTGAAGTATAAACAGTATTGTAAACCTCTGGTCTCAAGTTTTACTCCTATGTCTAGGCCCAGTGATCGCCTCTTGGTCATTCCTTACAAATTAGGCGTCAGCAATTTTTATATAGGTGTTTATTTAATAATTTGACTGTGAAATGTTTGATACGGAAGGATACTCCGTGCTTTCACGGAAAGCATGAAGAGTTATTATTTGTTTCGCTCTGCATATCATCTGTAAGTACTGGCTCTGAAGTGATTGGCTGTGGGTTGAGAAAGTTATATTCAAGTTGATTATCGGAAGTTAAAAACTTGGTGTGATTCAGCTTCTTCTAGTAAACGCTGTTTTTCAAAAGGAATCATATCTGCATCTGCAATATCCATGTTCTGTATGTGTCTGTAGCGCTTCGATGTGTTTTTGGTTAGTTTTTGGTGTTTTAGGACCACTCAATAGGCGTCGATTCATCTTCAGTTTCGTTTATTGGGAACGGTCATATAGGTGTCGATGTGAATGGAGAATTGAGGTATTCCTTCGTTTGTTTCTTGTTTCTTATTTGCAAAAGTTTTAGAAGGAGACGTACATTAGTTCTCTGACGGGCACCTAGTCATGTTCGGATTAGTAATATCATAGATGCTCTGAGTATATCACTTTTTCGACAGTTCGACAAAATAAACAGCGTGACCACTAATAAGCAGCAAGTTGTGAGAACGTTACTAGCCGTTGACTCTAATATCGGTGTCGTACTGTGAAGGTGCCCACCGTCGCTCGATCTTTTCGTGGCACGCAAACAAACAGCAATTCGTACGATTTCCCTTGTGGGCTAAGATTTACTATAAGCATTGTAATTCGAAGTAATCGACCCTATAGACTTTGTTTTTTTTTTTACAGAATTCCCTCGAGTGCTTCGAGTGTCCTTAATTTTGCTACTGGCTTCAAGCCATTTGTAAAGGTAAATATTGTTGGGACTGTCTCATCTGCTGAGACCACATTCACGGAATTTAAGGCCGGACGTCTTCGTAATATCAAATGTTATGTGCTGGTAAGTGTAAGAATTTTTTGTGGTTGTTTTCAATTCTTCGTTTTGTTTTAACTTCCTTATTTACCCAATAGGACGGAGAATGTGCATGCATCATAAGAACTAGCTATGCGCATCGAACGAGGAAGGAGCTACTGGTCGAAGAAGTAAAAATTATCAATCCAACTGTAAGTTTCTGTTTGTGAGCTTCGTAGTATGCTTCTTTGAACATTTTGAGCTAGTCTATATGGTTCAGAAAGCGTCGATAACCGTGAAAGTGGAACGACCAGAAGAGAAAAATTGGTCAGCTAATAAGACGTATGTTTATATTTGATTTGTCAGATTTCAGACGCTTGATCTTTTTTAATGAAAGCTTCGTTTCCTATGCAGTATTTGTAACCTTTTCGTTGGGGTGGTAGAGGGTGGGCCTCCAAAGTTCTTCCTGATGCTTTTGCTCATTGGCGGTGAATCTTATTAGGTTACGTACAATAACTGGTACCCCTTATCAGCTGTCATTAATGTTATCATGGAGGAACTCATATCAATCTGGATGAGTTTTACGGTATCTGACACCATGCTAAAAAATTGCTCGGATTTGTTCCCACAGTTTTTGAAAAGTTATATTTTAGAGGTGATGCGATTGTTTACACTCAAACCTTCCCGCTACATCTTTCTTCATTAACTGCTGCGGTCATGTGCTCAAGTGTTCCTGGAGAATATACAGTATCTCAAAAGAGGTCAGTTTTTTTGTATAAGGCGTTTTTCGATTTGACATAGGAGGCAAGTGGATCATAGAATCTGTAAGGATACTAAGAGACTTTATCGAATGCTGACCAGTGGCATCGGATAAGCTTTCATTGGAGTTGCAGGAAGAATGACTTTATTCAAGTCAATGAGAAACTGGAAGAAGAACATAACAGCGAGACTCATTAATAAATGTAGTGGTAAACTCATCCACGCTGCAAGAGCAGTCAAGCAGTTTGCGTTTCTTTGCGAGGGTCTCACTGGGTTCTGTGTGAGATTCCTCTAGGGACTTGTGTGTGCTGACAGTACCGTTGTGCGAATACCTTAGCACATGCAGTGGCGTCATCATTTATTCCAGCCTTTAAGGGAAGATACTATACGCTTCATGTGTATTGTCGAGCAACGGGAGCTGTCAAGCAATATGGCAATGGACATAAAGCCGGCACTACAGGAGCTCACCAGAAAAGTTATCGATGAATTTAGTCGACTCACCGTAATAGTACCACTTTCTGTGGACCTGGAGCATGAGCAGGCTTGGGCAAAGGTGGGTTTGGCATTATTCATCCATAGTCTTTTCTATCGGTATTCATTATTAAGCTCAACGCTGCTTCATTCTATCTGTCCCTTTCGAAAGCGCCGAATGTCCTAAATGGTGACCGAATCAATGCAACACGATACATTCTCATGAGTAACGTCAAAGCTCCCTTACTAGAATATTCTTTTCCCGAGGACAAAAGGAAGGTACAAGAATAACCCATTTCTTTTTATTTATGCTTGCTTGTTAGCTATCGTAGCATGTAATTAGATTGTTTAGGCACTAGAATTGACATCGAGACGCAATGAGCGATGTTACAGTGAGCACTCAACGTTGTTGTATCCATCGAAGTTGTGGCAAGTTAGTGCTAACGTGAAAAAACCTCCTATTGATGTTATTCCTGTTGTATTTGACTACCTTCAACTTCTTTGAGGACTGGAGTAAGATTGAGGACCTTATAAGCTTGGCGGAGATCTGGCTGTTAACCCTTGACAAAAGAGGCTGTGCTTCTCTTCTAAAGTCGGGAGCTACAGGACTTGCTCAGGTGAGGTTCCCGATTTTCTACATGCGAAGATTAATTGCTTTTGGTTTATATTCAGGCATTTACTCTTTCGCTCTCCGCTGCGTCATATCACGACTCCCATCTCGAAGTTGCGCTATCGGTTTCCGATCTTCACCGTGAAATAGCGTTCGGAGGCTTGCCGATTGGGATCGGGGTGGCCGATGCTAGCGCTCGTGTGCGCATAGACGATGACAATACACCCTACTTTGAGGTAATGGTTGAAACACATACTGTGTATATATTTTTGGGTTTATCAAAGCGGCTCTGGCGACATTATTTGATAACTACACACTCTTTTTGCTTTGAATAGCTCATATAAGAAAAAAAANAAAAAAAAGTTACTCAGGTTGTTTCTTCATAGGTGTCAGCAACGAACACACTCTACGCCTGTGGAGGTGGTTGCTTAGGGGAGCCGATTACACTCAGCAAAACACCAACGAAGATACCTATCAAGGTGTGAAAGTCTTTTCTACGATAGGATTCCAAGTGCAAATAATAATCGTTCAGATTACTAAACCAGAGACGAGTATTCTGTATATTGCAACGAGCCGTAAACATTTAGAGCAGTTACGGTAAGCACTTCGATTAGGAAGTGGGATAAGCATATTGACGGCGTCATTCAGGTCGACAATCCACGTTTCGGAGGTGATGTCGGCTCCTGCTCATGAAAGCGAGCTCCTCGCTCTGCATCGGCATGGCACTTCTATGGGAGGATTGCCGGCGTGGTTCTGGTTTATTCTGGGTGGGTGGTTGCTGATTTTCTTATCACGGTTCATGTTCCCGGCAAGGGAAAATGTTTCGTTCGCCTGACTTGTGCACACTGATCAGGGAAAGAAGGTCCTGAGTCAATTGTGAGTCAGTTGATCGTTTGCACAGATCGCCGAGATGAAAATAGGAATAGTTCCGGAACGAGGGAGATATGGGTTTTTTTGCGCTCCTCATGCTGTGTTCAAGGATGTCAATGACAATGATCATGTGTGGTTTCCCTTGTTCGGAATCAAGGCTACCACACCTCCTATCACCTTCTCTTTGACTTTGGAGTACCAGATCTATATACAAAAAATACTTCGTTTGTCACTTTAGACCAGTAAGAATTCAAATTCTTCTTTGAACAGGAGAAGACTTATCTCAAGAAAAGGTTCCTGTCTCCGTATTTGTTGCATTTTTCCTTTTTTTTCATTTTTTCCCTTTGCCGTATAATAAACGCAAGAGTCTTGTACAGAATGCTGCGTGGGCTACATATAGTGATGAAGCGTTCTCTGCGCATAGCTTGCTTAGCTGCTCGAGTACTGCTCAGGCATCCGAGTAGCATTGATCTTTATGCATAGGAATCCGTAGCGGCATGTTTTTCATTCTAAAGGGATCTTTTTCAATGTTACGACGTCACAGTGCTCAATGTTTGTTTTCAGTGTTGTTGTTGATCGCCTTCCATGCTTTCCTTGCCAAAATTCTGTGGTCGGAGTGGCGAAAAGGCGACATGACACCTTACAACCCTTATTTGAGGAGTAGGTACGCTTATAGTCGTACTCATTGAGAGCCCGCCACTATTCATTGCCTAATAATTACAGTTGTACTTCTTGGTTCGGTCCTTGTTATTGTTTCTGTAAGCCATTACAATGTCTTCCAGTACTCTATTGTAATCGAAATTGATTGAAAATCTCTACTTTTTGTTTTTAATTAACTGTGAGCAACCCTTAATTTTTTTNTTTTTTTGTTAATACGTGTATGTATAATAATTAAGCCCATGTGTTTGCTAATACTTTCCATGCCTTGCTTCGAAAATTGCTTACGATGCCGGATGAAATGTAATTTTAGTCCATTAATAAGTACGGTTAATTTTACAATTTCTCTTTAATGCCTTTCCAGAGTATTAATATTGAATAAAAACTACTTTATGTTTTCCGACCATGTCACACTATGGTTGTATCCTAGTTCTCATTTCATATGGATAGGCATATGGCACTCAATGAACTTGAAGTGTTTTGTAGGCAGGAAAGATTGCATCTTGACACCTCGAAAAGGCCTTCACAATGGTTGGTTTGTTTTTTTTTTTGTTGGATACCGTTTCTGACTAAACCGTTTTCAAGTCGAACTCCTCTACTGTAGAGATTTTTCCTAGATTTCTCTTACTATGTTTAGTCATTTGCGGGCTTCCTTGATATTGCACGGAAGGACGTCGATCTCCCTTCTACAGCTCCTAAAAGCTTACTGCAGAATATACATGCAGACTTCATCACGAATTTTGAAAAGAAAAAAGATTCTTATGTGAGTGATGAATTCGATTTCGTTTACATCGTTTTCTTCCAACAAACAGTTTCGGATAGCCTATTTTCACTTTTTTTGCGTCGGCAAATGTAAGATGTCTTTATGTAGACTGCAACCTTTGAAGTCGTAACGCAGTGGATTGAGCTCAGCCTGGCTTGCTGTTTTTGGAAATTTCGCATTTCCCTGAAATGAATGCGATTTTATGCTAAGGCTTGAGCTCGATGAAAAGATATGTGGTCCTTCGTACCTCTGTTGAACACAATTTGTTACACATTTATGCGAATCGGGCTTGACGAAACTACTCGGTTCTCATTTGAATATGAAGCACGAGTCAGGAGTATAGCGTTTGTAAGTGTTAATTTTTTTCAGGAGTACATCATGGCTGAGCCATTGCGTCTAAGCGGTGTTTACTGGTGTGTGAGTTCGTTGTGCATACAAAATAAGGTAAAATTTCATCTCTTGATTTCATTATTCGTTTTAAGCGCATAAGTAGTAGTTGCTGTGGGTGTAGAATCCAACAGGAATGGGATGAAGCTTAGGATTCAAGAATCACTCAGCAGGCAAGTAAGGAAGGCGCGGGTCAAGCAACCATCACCGCTATCGCATGAGTAGATTTGTTCATTTTTTATTTTTAGCCTGACGCTCTCGATAAGGATGCCATTGTAGAATACATCAAAGAGTGTCAGCGATCTGATGGCGGTTTTGCGCCTGCACTGCACCATGACAGCCATCTACTCCACACTCTGAGCGCGGTGCAAGTATGATCTTTTCGAGTGTTTTTTTTTTAATTTTCCTCTTCATTTTACTGTGCTTTTACAACAGGAATTATTCAGATTCTAATAATGTACGATGCACTGGATAAATTTGACCTGGATTCTATAGCTGAATACGTCCGTCGGCTGCAAAATGAAGATGGTAGTTTCGGTGGAGATGTGTCGAGTAGGTTTTGGTGATGATGTGTCAAGTAGGTAGACAGCATAGCGAAATTCTTCACCTGTAACCGCTTTTTCAGCCAGCCTGTGATAAAGCTCCTTCGCTCCCAACGTTTTTGGAGAAGTAGTCAAACTTAGAACAATGTATTTCATGGCTTATGAGGCTCATTCAGATGAAGTGGATACACGGTTCTCCTTCTGTGCTGTTGCTGCACTATTCCTTATCGACAGGCTGCACGTAATTGATCTCGAAAAGGCTGTTCAGTACGTGTTAAGTTGCTACAATTTTGACGGTGGCTTTGGAACCCGACCAGGATCAGAGAGTCATGCTGGCCAGGTAAGCAAACGGTTGCAGTTTCTGTATTCACAGTTTCGGCATTTTTCTTAATGAAAATTTGCTTTACTTGGCAAAAATTATCATGATCCAGATTGCTTAGGTGTATTGCTGCCTTGGAACATTATGCATTGCTCGTCGTCTCGAATCAATTGATAGGGATCGAACTGCTGAGTGGCTAGCTCAACGACAGTGCGGTAGTGGTGGCCTAAATGGTGAAAGTTTCGGAAAAATTCAGATCTTTGCTACTACTTTGCTTTTAGAAATCCTAGAAACTTGTTATTCTTGTGCTTGAAAATTCCTTAAACCATTGAAGGGTTATACAAAGTAATTTCAACTGTAAATCACTTCTTTAGTATGAATGGAGAAGCGCGAAAAATTCTTTGTTGTAAAGTGTGGGTATACTTTCAATTGATATCACATGTCCCTTTACCGTCTGTAGGCTAAGGCGAAACGAGAACTGCTGGCACTCCTGATATCTTCACAACCAGTATGCTAGATTTTATAGTACTTAATAAAATCATGTAGGACGTCCTGAAAAGCTACCGGACGTTTGCTATTCATGGTGGGTACTCGCTTCATTGGCTATGCTCGGTCGACTTGATTGGGTTGATAAGGTCGGTTTCAGCTTTGCAAATTATTGTCAGACTTTTTTTTCGAAACGTTCCTAATACTAGTGAAAGGATTGACGGGAAATATATGAAAACTGAACCAGTTTTTTGCCAAAAGAAACTATACTGATTGAAAATCTGACGGAATAGATGGGTGACTGAAATTGTTGGCATCGATAACAGAGGAGTGGTGATATTAAATAAAAAGGGTGTTTAGCATTTCTTTTTTATCATGGGTGAGAACATGAATTTAGTGTAAACGCTCAGCTGAAAACTGGAAGTGATCCATACAAGTTCATCATTTGGACCAAAATGGGAACGCGGGACATATCCTCATAAGAAGTTTGCATAGTGTTTCATTAGGGTAAAAAAACAAAAACATCCGGCGGCATAACAATCTACATTATACTTCTGAGCTTGACATTCTACATCGAATTTCTTTCAATTACTTGCTTTGATTTTGATAAAGTCATTTTTAGAATGATCTCATCAAATTTATTTACGCTTGTCAAGACGATGAGACGGGTGGCTTCGCAGATCGACCAGGCGATTGTGTATGTTTTACGGAGTATTTGCTGTAAGTCTCAAAGGACTTCCCATAAACTCTCTCTAAATTATATTTCAGCCGGACCCGTTCCACACGCTCTTTGGCATCGCAGGCTTGTCACTATTGGGTGATGATAGACTACGCCCAGTAGATGCCGTATTCTGTATGCCGAAATACACGTTGAAGAACAAATCTCTCTGCTAATTTTCATGTTACCATGTATTCATTCGATTCTATTGTGATATGAAACTAATTAAACTACTTTAATTCTCGTTTAGCAGACGTCTGCAATATCAGCGACTGTCAGTAATAAATCCAAAAGATGGGTCTCTCGAAGTGAGGATTGAACGCAAATTTTTCTCAAGCAATTCTCAAATTCGAGAGAGGGCACTTTTGGCTTTCCTAGCAAGGAAGAGTCAGTGAAAAGCATCTCAATGACTGAAGGAGGTTTATTAATTGAACAAAGCTATCTTTTTCGTTTAGGATGGGTTAAGACCCTACTCCTTACTGGTTTTTGTCGCTTCTAATTGCATTCGTGTATTTGCAATTTTAAGAAAAATATCCGCTAAAAGTTAATAAATCCTAATTACTTTGGTGTAGCATCAAACTGAATTATTGAAAGCGGAATATTAGAGACAGGGAGGATTTTGGAAGTTCAGAAACAGGGAGGATTCGGATAGGGTCACCCTGTTGCCTGTGCCTAGCTAAGTAGGTGGCGTTGTCATGTCATGCATGTCATTGTTCCATTCAGACTTTGCGTCAACGCTTGACGCTCGTGGGCTAGGCCACGCCCTTGACTAATCTATACGGGTAGTTGGGCTGTAACGTCGCAGGGTCCATAAAGCGTCAGCAACGTGGCAATATAAGGAGCATGAGTTCAGCCATTTATACTTCTGTTCGCTCGATTGCTACATGATGTGAGCGTGATATATTCTTATGGTGATCTCCACTTTTGACAGAGCCTCAAATAGCAATTTTTATGCGAAATGAAGAACTTTGTGAGCCTCGATGAACCAAAGCTGTTTGAAATGATCACCCAGAGCTCTCTTTTCGGCGAAAGCTTTAGCAAAGCAGTGTAGTGGGTAGGACCAACTGTGAGTATAAGAACTGGTCCGTGTCGAACTTGCCTCTCAAGGTGACAGTGTCGATTGGTCGGCCTTAGAGCTTTGGGAATATAAAACTCACTGAAATAGTGATCTGAGCGAAAGTGGGTACCTAGAAGTTGCGCTTCAGAACCCACAGGAAGGAAGACACAGTATGGGAACGTGGTACCTACAGTGACCTGATGGTGGAATGAAATGCAATGTACGTAGGTTTTGCAGATAGCTTCCATTCCATTTCCAGGGTTTAATGGAAAAGGTGAAGAACTGCACATATGTGACAAATCGGAAAAAAAAACCTTAGGCAGGGGCATCAAAGGGCCCGGGCCCGCCCCTAGTCCGACCACTGTGGGAGCCAGCTTGCCGTACTGCATTTCCGTTTCCGATTGAAGATTTCAGATGATATTCGTGTGCCTGGCTTACTCTTGATAGAGACCGATCAACTACAGCCACTTTCTACTTCCGATATCTGTATCTGATGGGTTGTTCGTCATGTCGTACTCCCACAGGGAACACGCATATCCACCTGGCTTAGCTCAGAGCGCCTGTTCATGAACACTTCGCAGTGTAATAGGTGGATATGAACACCCATTTGACATATACTTCTATCGAATCAGTGTACCTTGAAGTTTATCGATTGATTCTTGCCTGGTTTTGATCTACTCCCGACAGCCGACGCCTCGTATCGATCCATTTATCGTTATCGCTTTGCTTTTAACGAGATATATTACATCATACACATTCCCGCAACTGCTGTCTCTTTGACTGCTATTGCTGCAACGGCTATTGATCGACTATTGTCATTATTTGTTTTGATTTTGTCATTTTATCAGTAATCCTGCTCAATACTATCAGGTTGGCAACTAAGTAATCGCGCATTTTTCTCGGTACTCCAAACATTTTCTTTAAAAAGTAACCACCCGTCTTCCGAGAAGATTGTTATTTATTGGACAGGTACCTGGGTATTTTATGCTCAATATACAACTGGATAATTATTTCTTGTTTTATGAAAAGGGATTTGTTTTCTCCCGAAATATACGGAATTACTCAGTTGCCGATCCGATGTTCAGTGAGGGAAGTCAGTGAGCGGTCTTTACAGTTCCGATAGAGGAAATTCGTCTCGATAATCGGAGATAATTTATTTTCCCGTCCATCATTTGTGCCTTTCTCAGTGTTCTACTAACCTGTTTGTAATACGTTACTTACTTTACGGATTTTTTTCCCTCAAAAAAGGTATTGGATAATTCTGTTTTAAATATTTATATATAAGTTAAAAATAATTCGTGAATTTATTAACTGCTCAGTTTCGTTCAAATGAGCATTTCTAGTATTTCACAGGAAAAAAGATAGTGTGTTGGCAAGAATCATAGCACAGTCAAGGCTAATCGGAAGCTCCGTAAGCTGGCTGGCTGACTAGTTTCCCTAAGAATAAGAATGGAGGATTATTGGTTAGTACAAGTATTATTTGGGATCTTTAAATTATTGTATAGGCCAAATATGTGTTTGCGAGCAACGGATAATAGTATGAAAGCCCGTTCAAAAGTTCAAAATTTCGGCTGGCTGTCATCGTTCCCTTCGGACCTTCTCTGAATTGAGTCGATAACGTTACTTACAAGTTTCTGAGAGAAGCTAGTTCTGTAGTCACAAATCAGAAATCTCAGCCTCCGTGGATTATGATGAGTGCACGGCTTACTCAAAGTGCGTCAATTGAAATGAAACGCGTNCAGACACATTAAAATTGGCTTTAAGATTGAGGTTTTAGGCTCTAAACACTTAATATCGTCTGGGTGTTCTCACCAGAAGCGGCCGACATTGCTCTTCGTTTTAGTTTTTCTTCTTTCGTTTGTTTATTTTCAATGCTGCTTCTATACGCAATTCTTCTGGAAGGCCTGAGCGCTACCACTTTCTCATTGAACAATTACTGCCTTTGATTTCCAGTTGTTTATATTATTGTGGAAGAAATCAGGGACATAGAGATGGGCTGCCTTATAGCGCACCAATGATTAGGGATTTCATCCATGATCCGAGTTCCAGCCAGTTTTCCTACCGATTTCTACTTTTCCACGGTTCAACAGTTAATAGTTTTCTTTGGCAGTGTAATAAATCCAACCTTTTCATCGACTGTTCCCCATAATGCCAATGCATCTTCCGGTAACTATCTCAATCGTTAGTACCATTCTAAATGGCAGACAAAAGCAGGGCGCATCTCGAAGAGAGCTGTAATCAGCATTAGCTTTCTATTTTATTCAATTCGTTTCCCAGAAGTTACTAGCTACCCCAGAAATGAGTGAGCCAAGAAGAGCACGTGATTTTTTGTGATGACAAAGTGCTATGCGGGATATCTTCTCGCCCGCTTAGTGTAATTTGCTCATTAATTCGCTGTCATTGAGCGCACTGAGGGCCACATTGATTTGCATTAGACTCCTGAATATTTCTTATGTATTATACTACAACTTATTACTTATTCTAATGATCAATTGTTACTTCTTGTTAGTAGACGGATATGAACGTTAAATGCGTTGAGATGAGGGATATGTATACCCTCTTTTTCACTTGTGCACGTGCATGGCTTTGAGTCCCTTCCAGACTACATACAGACTTTCTCAATCTTATGAAACCCATTGGATGGAATTGAATTTGATCAATAGAATAGGAACCAATTTGCAAAGTTAGTCTGTGGTACTTAGAATGAAAGCCTTTCTGTGGTGGGCTCAGAAAATATGACCAACTTTCATCAGTTTTCTTTCGAATTCATTTTGTCATGCATACTTCCTACTATTTTAAGAAGTCAGGACCCGTGAGAAGCAGAGTCACAATTCTGCGTCTCTGACTTTGTGCTGAACTTTTTGCCCTACGATTTGCTCATCGGACTGTAATCGACCACTAGTGCAATCGAAATGTTCTATAGGGAATAATCTATAACGGTATCCAGGACTGTATGTATGTCCGTGTTTTTATGTCGATGCTGAAGTTGGTATGTATTGATGAATATGTGTGAATAATAGTTTTGTACAATGCTGTTGCATGGGTTGTATCCCCATTGTGCGGTTGCTGTTCACAGAATCCCCTTGGATGTGCTGAATGTGTTGGAGTGCTCAGTGGTGTTCCATGTGGCAGTGTTGAATTGCCGCTGATATAATACGGTTCGATTTTGATTTCCATACTGGCCTACTCGCCTTTGTTTTCGCCCTATCTAGAGGGTCTGAATATTACCTGAGTAATTGTTAAGCCTTCTGCAGGTGGTTTGCCAGTACCACTGAAACCAGTGCTAGGTGATCTTTGAGCGCCAAATATCTTAAGACAATAATGACTCAGTTTTCCATGCTCTTTCCTGCTTACAAATCAATTTTATATAAAATATATGTGATTTGTATAAAAGCCAAATAATACTGAATCTATATTCAGACCATTTTTTTCCTTACATTTTTCTTTAACTGAGTTAGTGTAATGGATAGAAGGCAGCTATGACTCTGTTCACGGGTACAATGACCCCTCCTTGCTTCTCCACACCTGTCAATATCGAGTAATTGATTCGAGTCGTCTCAAATGACAGGAAGACAAAGGAAATTCGCTTTGGTCATGAATGTAATTGGACACTTTTGAAATTAAAACGTGGCATGAATTCGTGGCGCATCCGGGAAGTATGACGATTACCAGTCACTCTACACTCCGTTGATTCCACGAAAACCTTTCAGTAATCATTAAATAATCCTTTTCCTCTGACGTTGTGGGCTACTCAAATATTATGGGGCTCCACCCATTTTACTGCTAATTTCGAAGAGATTCAGTGTCTTGATTTTGATGTTCTGCTGTTAGAAGGTATAAAGAGCTTTCACAATCGGATATTCGATACTGTGAGTTTTTACGTAAGCTGCAGCGAAGGCGAGAGTTTTTCGATTTTGTGGACCATTGTAAAGTGTTTTCTCGAAAAGTTCCTGAAAATAATGCTTTGTGAGAATTAGCTGTCATTCGCCTGCCACATCCGATTCTCTGTGCTCTTGGTACACGAAATTCGATTGGTTGTAAGTCAGTCCAAAAGTCCTTTTGGGATTAGAGCATCCTATGGCTCTTACGATATTGTCTTCAAGAAATCCCTCTACACAG